TTGGTGATTGCCCAGCTCTCTAATTTATCTCTTTCATCAAGAGTGTCCACAGGACCTCCCAATTTGGTGTTATTGGCAAACTTAGCTGTCCTTCAAGTCCTGTACCCAAGTTATTGATGAAGATATTAAAGAGCATGACTAAATTTCTGCAAGAGCACAGACAAAATTTCTACAAACACATTAAAAATGACTGTATTGGTTTGTGCTTTTTGCTGTTCTTGCCTGCAATACCGAGAAATACACACAAGTCACTTACCAGTTGTTCCTCCACCAGGCTGAGAGTCAGCAGATATAATTCCTGGGTACCTCAGGCAGCGGAAGTCTAGGCCATACCGGTAATGGTAGTACTAGAGAGGGAGGAGAGAAACACAGCCTTACACATCGAGATTAAGCCACACAACTCATGGATTCCACAGGAAAAATCTTCCACAGGATGAACCTATGTTCTGTAGAATCATAGAATGGTTTGGGTTGGAAGGGACCTTAAAGCTCACCCAGTCCCAACCCCCCTGCCATCAGCAGGGACACCTTCCACCAGACCAGGTTGCTCAAAGCCTCATCCAGCCTGGCCTTCAACACTTCCAGGGAGGGGGCATCCACAACTTCCTTGGGCAACCTGTTCCAGTGTCTCACCACCCTCACAGTGAAGCACTTCTTCCTAATATAATAAGACAGTCTTCAGACCTGCCGCTGTTCTTCATAATCTTGAAGTGTGAGGAAACTGTATATAAAATTATCACCTTTAACAATGTTATATTTCTAAAAAAACTATAAAGTTAAAAGAGAACTTATGCCTGTGTGGACTTGCACGGCTTAGACTTGAGTCTTTTTTTTTCTGGAGAGGGGGCAAAAGTCATCATTGTCTAACATGCTTTCGCAAGGCTCTGTACGCTGTCATTTATGCAATGCCATTCATATTGGCAGATGAGGCAGAGAGGCCAAAGTCAAAAGAAAAAGGGAAAGAAATGATATTGAAAGTTAGATGTTTGCCAGCTTCCAATTCTTTGTACTTTTTCCAACAAACAAACTCAAAAGGCAGTTGTCCTTAAAGCTGCTTCATATTACTATTGAGTATTAAAGCTTGAAGGATGGAAAGAATGGGGAAAAAAAACCACTGCAGTGAGGACTCTTACAAAAGCAATTAAGTTCTCCCAGAACTTTCAATAAATAAATAAAATAAAAAATTCTCACTTCTCCCATGAGCTCAGCGTGAACCTTGGAGACTCCATAGATTGTCCTTGGTCTCTGAATGCAGAGATCAGGAGTTGGATCTCGAGGAGAGGTGGGTCCAAAGGCTCCAATAGTGCTTGGAACAAAAAGTCTCAAATTATGTTCAGCTGCAATATCCAGAACATTGTGCAAACCTGGAACAAACAACAAGATTTATCAGAAGACACACATATTGCAATTTCTCAAGCCTCTGTAAGAGTCATGAACTTGAAACCCTTGTCACATACCGGTAATATTCACAGCTCTGGCCAAAGGGACGTTTGCTTCTCCAACAGCACTGAGCAAAGCACTGTAGTGGAACAGCCAAGTTATCCGATTATTCACCACTATCTCACGTAAATTCTTGTAGTCCAAGATATCCGCGTAGATGAAAGGACCTAGAGGAAATGGAACCAGGAGGAAATTGAATGCCAAAGAGAAAGGATGTAAAGAAAAGTTCTAGATGAAACTCAAAATTGCTGCTTCTTGACCATACCTATGTTCAGAGTTTGACTGCACAGAAGAATGAATACAGCAGTGGTCAATAAATCAGGAAATAAGAAGGAGAAACAAAAGGAAACTGCTCTCTTTACCTCAACAACAGCCTGACACAAGAACTCCTGTTTTATCCAGACAACAGCATGACAACAGGGAACATCTAGCATACACTATTCAAATATCTAAAGACATCATTAAATAATAATGAAGAAGAAAATCTTAGGCAAAGTTTCTAATGAAAATAAAAGAATCCAAAAATCCTACCCTACATCCATCTTATCAGAAAAATTGCCTAAGCATGGAAAAAAACAAAGCACAAATTTAATTTCCAGTTTATTTTCTCCAAAAGAATAAATGCATCTCTTTTTATAGCAGGAACACAATAGCTAAGCTCAACTTGACTCAAGTACTTATTCTGGTCAACAAAGTCACAAAGCAACAGAGAAAAAAATGAAAAGAAAAATGGAATAAGAGACAGAAGAAATCAGTGTCTTGGCAAGATTTCAAAGCAGGAAGGCATCATCCAGAAGTTTCAAATAGAAACTTGTTGAGTTTAACCCATTTAGACTTCAGCAATTAGTCTATCAAAGTCACAGGTAAAGTCAAGATGGTTTTTTTTTCCATATGCTCCCTCAGTCACTTACCACTATAAAAAACATTATCCGCAGGCTTTCTAATGTCAGACAAGATCACGTTGTTCTTTCCAAAGTGTTTCCTGTATAAAAATACCCACATGGTACAGTGAGACCAGAGTCTTCAAGTTGCTATCCTGCTAATTTGTTTATCAGGAGATACATCAGAAGAACAATAATTCCACAATAAAATCAGCTATTTCACTAAAAAAAAAAAAAACACCCAAGCCCTTAAATGTCAATACAGCATCTTAGAAAGTTAGTAAACTACTTCCAGTAGCAGCCAAAGACCACATAAGGATAGATAAATCTTTTAGAAAACAAAAATACATTGAGAAGAAAGACCTTCCTACCCTCTTCTGTCTGAAAATTTTACCCAGAGATAATTTACCCCCCTGCAGACAACAAAAAGCCACTGGGTTTGCTGTAACTGCAGCCAAATTTGTATCACAGTAAATACAACTGAGTAATCTCTGCCTCGTGCTTTTCTAATCAACACAAGGCTGTGGCAGAGAGCAAATCTGATGGCACTGGAGTACATTCCAGCCATCCATTATTTGGATGATTCTTAAATAGGAGGCCTCAGTAAATCTGGCTACTCATGCTAAATAATGCTACACACACAGTATATTAAATCACACAGAACGAGTCATTCTATTTAAAATGTACTTATTAATCTACAGACTAGTTTTCCTTAATAAAATCAAACTATGTTTTCCAGCCTTTGTTACTCAGGGAAGTTTTGTGGGACCATATCTGTTACCCAACATGGGCAATTCTGGTTTATGGACAATTCCAGTACCTGAAGGAGCTCCAGGAAGGCTGGGGAGGGACTTTTTATGAGGACACACAGTGATAGAACAAGGGGTGATGGTTTTAAACTGGAAAGGGGGAGATTTAGATGAGATCTGAGGAAGAAATTCTTTCCTGTGAGACACTGGTCTGGGTTGGCCAGAGGAGCTGTGGCTGCTCCCCCCTGGGAGGGTTGCAGGCCAGGCTGGATAAGGCTTTGAGCAACCTGGTCTAGTGGAAGGTGTCCCTGCTGATGGCATGGGGGTTGGAACTGGATGATCTTTAAGGTCCCTTCCAACCCAAACCATTCTGTGATTCTATGAAATGGGAGAAAACATCCAAACTGCAACATAGTGTTGAATGCAATGAGTTTGCTCCCTTTTAGTCATAGTCCAAATCTCTGCAACAAACACTGTCTACGTGCAAATAATACTCTGGAGATGAGTAGGTGTGGATATGGACAATGGTACAGACCAGGGAGAGCTCTCAGAGCATTTTACATTTATTGAAAAGATGCCAGGAAAGAGTAAGGTGTGTATGTGAGATGGGTGAACGAAAAGAGCCAGAATAAATGTATTTTCATAGAATCATAGGGGTTGGAAGGGACCTCTGGA